GTCAATCTTTTTGAGGTCTCTTGCTTTGTTTTTCTCTGTTTTAAAGATTTTTCTCCTTGTCTTTACTTTCTGGCATTGTTATGATGATGTATCTGTGGATCTTTTTGTGTTTATTCTATTGGAGTTTGGTGAGCTTCCTAGGTGTATAGATTTCTGTAGATTATGAAGTTTTTTGTTGTTAATTTTAGGACTTTTAAGTCATCAATTCTTTGAAATTTGGGTGTGGACAGGTTTATCACTGCATCTGGCACCCAGTGAGCACTAGCCCATGTTGGCTATTACCACCATTCCTGCTAGCACTGCCTTATTTCCCCCCCAATGGCCTTCCTTTATACTCAGCATGTAACTGTACAAACATTAATGTTTTCGATATAGCATGCTACCCAGAACCCAAGGATTTCAGATAAGGGGTTGTTGACCCAAGTATATATATATATATATATATATATATATTTTTTTTTTTTTTTTTTTTGAGTTGGAGTCTCACTCTGTCACCCAGACTGGAGTGCAGTGGCCACTCCCGGGCACCGCAGCCGCGACCTGCTAGGCTCCAGCGATCCTTCTGCCTCAGCCTTCCGAGTAGCCGGAATTACAGGCAAGCGCTACCACGCCCGGCTGATTTTTTGATTTATTGTAGAGATGAGGTCTTGCTGCCCAGGCGGGTCTCGAACCCGAGGGCTCGGGCAATCTGCTCACCTCAGCCTCCCAAAGGCGCGGGATTACAGGCTGAGCCACCGAGCCCGGCTCCCAAGTATATTTTTTAAAAAGTGATACCAGTATACATGAGATTAAAAGTTTATATCTTTGCTGGGATCTTTTTATAAGAACTGTTTATATACTTTTAATGCATTATTATTTGAGTCAGTCTATTTGTTTTTTTGTTTAGAGTTGGGTCTAACTTTGTTGCCCAGGCCGGAGTGCAGTGTCATGATTACAGCTCACTGCAGCCTTGACCTCCTTGGCTCAGATGATCCTTCTGCCTCAGCCTCCTGAGTAGCTGAGACTACAGGCATGCGCCACAATGCCTGAATAATTTTTTGGTTTTTTTTTTTTTTTGTAGAGATGAAGTCTCACTATGTTGTCTATGCTGGTCTCAAACTCCTGGACTCAAGCAATCTTCCTACCTCAGCCTCCCAAAGTGCTGAGATTGCAGGTGTGAACTACCACACCTGGCAATCTCCTTTTCTATGTGGCCCAGATTGGCCTTGAATTCCCATGCTCAAGAAATCCTCCCACCTCAGTCTCCCAAGTGCAGCATGTCCAGTTCAATCTCCATTTTAAATCACCTCAGGGCATTTGAATCTGGGCTCCCCCTACATGATGATGTGATGCAGATTCCTCACATGACCCACCCAGCCATGATGCAGATGCTGATCTTGCTCCTTGCCCAGCAGCACTGTGGATGCACCTGCAAAGTTGGAGTTCCTATTTTCTTTTCCTGTAGTCCTTATAATCAAGTGTAATAGCCTCATAACCTGAGTTACTGTGCTAAGAAAATTTTTTTTAAAACTTTTTTTAGGACGTTGTGTTTGTAAATCATACCGCGAGTTTCCCACCACTAGATGGGAGGTTAACAAAGTCCCTTCCTGGCCCTCTCCCAATGCTCAGATGCCTTCATATGTACTATCTCATTAGAAACATCACAAGGACTAGGATCCCCATGAGAGGTCTTGAAATCCTAGGCTCAAGTCACCCAAAGTGTTGGGATTACAGGTGTGAGTTACCACACTCATCAATCACCTTTTTAAAAAAAAGAGACAGGGTCTTGCTATGTTGCTCAGGTTGGCCTGGAATTTCAATGGTCAAGCAATGCTCCTGCCTCAGTCTCCCAAGTGCAGCATGCCTGGCTCAATCCCCATTTTAATCACCTTGGGTATTTGAATTTGACCTTCTTCCCTGTCCTCATCTGTTTCTTCATTTCAGCCACCTACCCTGGTCACGCTCCCCTTTCTCCTTTCTCCCCTTTCTCCTTTCTCCATTATTTGCTTGTTAAGCACCTCGTGATTAATTCCACGAGGAGTGGAATGGCTTTTGTTGGTGACTTTACTGTTTTAGATGGCTGATGTGCTGTCTGGTGAAGGTGTACATGGGATGAGGCTTATGCAGGTGGGAGTTATACTGCCATTGAGAGAAAGGTGTTGAGAAATTTTTTTTTTTTTTTTGACTCAGGGTCTCACTCTGTTGCTCAGGCTGGAGTGCAGTAACACAATCACAGCTCACTGCAGCCTCCACCTCCTGGGCTCAAGTGATTCTCCTGTGTCAGTCTCCCAAGTAACTGAGACTATAGGTATGCCCCACTCAGCTAGCTAATTTTAAATTTTTTTGATTGTGGAGATGAGGTCTCACTGTGTTGCCCAGGCTGGTCTCTAACTCCTGGCCTCAAGGAGACCTCCCACCTCTGCCTCCCAAAGTGCTTAGATGACAGGCATGAGCCACTGCACCCAGCCAAGAATTTTTAAAGTATCGAATGGAGACATTTTGTTGAGCATGAGGCTTAGAGCCTCTCCCTTTCCCAAGTGTCATCAGCCTTGAAAACCAAATGTTAGATGCTAGATACCAACAAAGTTTAGATCATCAGAGAAAGGAGTAGTATCAGATGAAGAGGGACTTGGAACGAGGCTTTGAAGGGAGTATAATTTCCATCTTTCTGACCTGTCTTGGGAAGGAAAGTCTTGCCTAACCACCTGACTCTGCTGTCTCTGTGACTGAGACCAGGCACAACCCTGCAGGGATGAGGTGACAGCTGAGGAGTCCTGCCTTTCCCAGCACTGCAGGACACCCAGACTGCTGGGATGCTGCCAGCATGCTAGCTCCTGGTTGCTGTTGTGAGGTCCCAGACTAAAAAGCTCAGTCTTGAGGGTGGTGTGTTTCCTGTAGAGGTGCAGGTGCTTGCACAGTCTCCCCCAGGAGAGACAGCCTAGAAACAACACTGAGCAACCTGCCCCCTAGACCACTGAGGCCCACATATTGCAAACGGGCTGTGGGAAGGGTGAGGCTGCTACAGAGATGTGTGCGCACCGGGTGTCGAGTGAAACTTGGAGGGGACACTGTTGCCAGATGCCAACTTACCCTTTTTTTCTTTTCCTTTGTGCTCTGGGGTTAAACTCTGCACAAGTCATCAGAGGACAGAGCAAGACTTTTCTTTTGGATCCAGGAAAGTTTTAATTATTCTCTACACTCTTTTTTTTTGAGTTGGAGTCTCACTCTGTCACCCAGACTGGAGTGCAGTGGCCGCTCCTGGTCACCGCAGCCTCAACCTGCTGGGCTCCGGCGATGCTTCCGCCTCAGCCTTCCGAGTAGCCGGAATTACAGGTATGCGCTACCACGCCCGGCTGATTGTTTTATTTATTGTAGAGATGAAGTCTTGCTGCCCAGGCGGGTCTCGAACCTGTGGGCTCAGGCAAACCACTCACCTCAGCCTCCCAAAGGAGCGGGATTACAGGCTGAGCCACCGAGCCTGGCTATTCTCTACACTCTTGTAGGAAGTGTTTAAGACAATATGTAAAGATGGATAAAACACCACATGATGGTATAAGAGACAGAAGACAGGGGCCAGAAAGGCTACAAAGTGTGTCCCACACATAAGGACTTATACCTCCATGTTTAGCTCTAAGGTTTCTGGTAGCCAGGGAAAAGGTTGTGTGTGTGTATGTGGTTAATGACTATCTGTCAGGATAACAAGGTGATGCTGCAGTGACAAATGGCAAATCACCCTGACTTAAGACAACTGAGGGTTGCTGCTTACTCCTACTCGGAGATCACCACAGGCTGAGGCCTGTGTCAAGTGTTACTGGAACATGGCTGTGTGAATTCATTTATATACAGTACCCCACCCCCCCACCCAAGGAGGACACATTCCAAGACCCCCAGTGGATGCCTGAAGATGGGGATAGTACTGAGCCCAGTACATGCTGTTTTAGATCTGGTCGCTGAGAGGACTGCTAAGTGACTAACAGGTGGGTCATGTCTATAGAATGGAGATGCGGGACAAAGGGAGGATTCCCATCCCAGGTGGGAAGAAGCAGGATGACGAGAGATTTCATCACACCACTCAGAACAAGCACAATTGAAAGTTTATGGATTGTTTGCATCTGCTGCTACAGTAGCCTGAGTTTTGTGCACAGTATGTGTGCACATGTGTGTGTCTGTCTATAAGTGTGCACAGATGGTTTTGTATGGGCATGTGTCAGTGCACACACGCATGAACATGTGTGAGTGGCTGTGTGTAGACATGTGTGAGCCTGAGTGCCTATGTGAGTTTCTATGTGTGTGAGCAAGTGTGTGCAGACACAATTGTATGTATGTATGAGAGTGTAATTGCCTATATATGAGTTCTCATGTGCACCCATGTGAGTGTGCCTGTGTATAAATGCATGTGAACCTTTGTATGCATGCATGCACATGAGTATGCGTGCACAAGTGCCTGTGTGCACGTATGAGTTTGAGTACGTGCATGTGTGTGAGTGCCTGTACATGTACACACATGTCCACAAACCATTGAGTTGGAGATAGTAAGCACAGCATTTTAGTTAGGCTGAAAGGCTACATGGGCACTTGTAACTGGCACCACCACCTCACCATCACCCCACCATCTATCCTATGGGTTTGGCTTTGTTCCGAAAGACCTCAACCTCATCAAGGTTGGGGACGAGGCAAGTCCTGTGTTGTTGCCAAGCTGATTTTACCAGTGGGCAGAAAAACACTGGGGGCTTTTTGCTCTTTTCCATGATGAAACAGGAAGTTTTTGAGAATGTTCCACTGATGCTCAACCATCTCCCAGTAGGATCTGTGATAATAAACAGGCCTGGCACAAGCAGCATGACTCCCTAGGCCCCTCAGGATCACAGCCTGGACAACATAGTGAGACTGCATCTCTACCAAAAAGTCAAAAAATTATCCAGGCATGGTGGCACATACCTACCAGAGAGGCTGAGGCAGGATTGCCTGCGCCCAGGAGGTCAAAAAGCACAAAAATGTGAAAAACACCCACTTAGAGTAGATTATGGAGAGGATACTTTTTTTTAATGGCATGAGCTGAAGCAAGAAAGCAGTGCACTCCTTCTCTTGACCTTGGCTGGAAACACGTGCATCAGCCACTCAGACCATCCACCCCCTGCACATCCTCGAATGGGAGTGCTAGGATGGGGAGTGGGTATCTTGCGAATGCAAATCTGCTTTGCTGCCATGAACCTAAAAAGTGTTGACAGCTTCTGATATAAAAGGTTTTGGGGACAAGAGGGAAGAAGACTTCTATCTTGGGAAAATACTTGTCCACTGGCTGTTACTGGTCTCACCCATGCCATTCCCAAACCTGCTGCTGGCAGGAGTCACCAACGAAAGTCACAGATGCATCCATGCAGACTCTGCACCTATATCTCCTCCTTTAACACAATGTTCACTGGGCACTTACCACGTGCAGACATGAACATGATGCTCGACACCTGCCACCCTGATTCTCACAGCGATGCTGTGTTGGTCCCACTGCACTAACAAGAAGCCAGGGCTTGGAGGGTAACCCACCATGCCGCTTGGTTAATTCATGTCCAGCGGGGAATTTGGAACCTGACAGCCAGGGCAGTTAGAGGGAAGCAGAACTGAAGAATAGGTGACAGTATAGTACCTATGCTTTCCCTTCTGATAAGCAGCCAAACAAGTCTCTGCCTTGGAGGCAACATAAGAAATTTAGTACAACAGACATTACTACAGCTTGTGTCCCAGAGTTGCACACTCCTTAGAAGGCAAAAACAGGTCTGTTGGACATTTGAATGGATTTTAGAAAATACCCACTAGCTGGCCATGAGCACCTAGGGGAAAGCATGCTACAACTTCAGGCATGATGTGTGCTATGGTTAGGCCAAGGACACCCAAGAAGCCCATCAAACCAGCTCAGGCTCACACTTTCTGCTCCACCATGGCCTCAATCAGAAGAAGGAAACTGAGGCACAAGGTTTTGTTTAAGATGCCAGTAAGAGGAGGAAGACCAGTGCTGGGTGCCTGTTTAGCTGTTCTGGTGAGGAGCTCTGGGACTTCTGCCCTCCTCAGGTTGTCAGTCCTCAGTCCTGCCTCAGCTGGGTCCCGGCCCTATGAGCCAAGCACACTGTGCCTGGCATGGTTCTGTAGGTGAAGGTGCCCATGCCAGTGTCTGAGACACTATTTTGCTATTTTTATTTCTGTGAGAATCTGTTAAAAGGTGGCCCTTCATTATTTTAATTACACACAGTGTTGGAAAAAAGAAATAACATAAACTTTTCTATGGTAACTTGTATTTAGAAACCTGGAAAAACTAGAAAACACTGACCTGGCAGAAGAATAGCAATACTATGAGAGTTTCAGCTCCATCAACTGTCTTGCTGGAGTTGCAGGCCACGCCACATGCAAGTGCTTTCCCACAGACAGGTGGGCAGAGCTGATGCCACCTACTTGCCCCTAGCTCTGCAGCCATAGCTGTGATCTGCTTTGCTGCCTCCTCTCTCTGTCCCTGCTGCCTCCTCTGTATCTAGGGGGTGGCATTTGTACTGTGGAGCATCAGTCATGTCATCTCCACCCTCCTCACCCAACAGGTAGTTCTTGAGGTCAGTGTCCTGGTCTGTGCGGGGCCTGGCCTTCTTCTTCCCCTTCCTCATCTGCTTCGTCAGTACAGCCACCTGCCCCGTCCACACTGGGCCCTCAAGCCCTTTCTCCTTTCTCCTTTTGTACTCCATTATCTGCTTGTTGAGTCCCTCATGATCAATCCCACACAGGCTGGAGTGTGTGGCTGGTCCCACAGGGCAGCACGGTGCTGCGGCGTCAAGGTCCCTGTGAGGGGAGAAAAGAAGCCTTCAGACCAAGCATAAACCAAGCCCCAACTACAGCAAGAAGGCTTCCTATATCTGCTTGTGGACATCCTAAGCATTCACCTAAGGGTAAGTGGAGACGTGTGAAGGAAGGTGGACTTGGGTTTGGCACTGTCCAGCATCAGAGCCAAGGGGCCAACAGTCCTGATGCCACTGTCCTGAGCCCTCACTAAATGCATTTTCAACTCTTTTCACTAAGCGTGGCCAGTGTACTAGGCCAGCTAAACACACAGAGTTATGGGTAAGCCCCATCAGATCTACCACTATTCAGCACCTCAATGAGCCGAAGACCCTGTTCTGTGACAGCTACACCCAGAGAGGCCCCATCATGCCTCTGAGCCCTGCAAGGCTTACCCACAACCTGCCTTCTCTACTGCCCCTCACTGACCGGGACAAGCCAAGCCTGCTGGAGCTCTGTTCCAACTCAAACACACCTGGCAGGCTAGTTTACCAGACCCTGACAAGTGCCTAGGCGATGCCAATGCTGTTGTGTGAGACTCACAGGCAAGACCTGCTCCAGTAGGTGTGTGCCTGGAACGAGGCCCTCCATAAGCACCTCTGTACCCAACAGGTCTAGTCATATCACCTCTGCAGAGCCTGCTCTACACATTGCTTACTCTCTGAGCCTTCTCTACTCCCCTCCACACACACCTGACCATCTGTGGTGTTCACCACTTTCTGTTGGCCTCTCCTAGCAACACACAGGCTCCAAAGACAGGTGCAGCCCAAGGGCTAGACCAGGGCCTGGCATACAGTTGGCATTTAATAAAACTAGATTGAGTAAGCTGGGCGCAGTGGCTCATATCCTTAATCCCACCACTTTGGGAGGCACAGGCAAGAGAACTGTCTGAGCCCAGGGGTTTGAGATCAGCCTCAGCAACATAGCGAGACCTCATCTCTACAAGAAATAAAAAAATTAGCTGGGTGTGGTGGTGTGCACCTGTAGTACTGGGAAGGCTGAGGCGGAAGGACTGCCTGAGCCCAGCAGGCTGAGTCTGCGGTAACTTGTGCGCATGCCACTGCACTCTAGCCTGGGCAACAGAGTGAGACTCCAACTTAAAAAAAAAAAATAGTTGAGCAAATTAAAAGGACAAGAGAGACTCACAAGGCTTCTTCCTCACTAGATGAGTCACAGCAGATGCTTCTAGGCAACCACTGAGGCCCTGTTGTGTCCACGTACCAGGCCGTAGCAGAGGCCTATTTGTGCAGACTACAGTCCAAGGAAAGCACCAAGGAACAGCACAGGCTGGCAGGGACAAAAACTGCACATCTACTGTGGAAGCAGCAGTTCCACACCTAGGAGTCTGCCCCAGGGAATCAAAGCACACGTCCACACTTATCACCTGAAATCATTGTCTATAAAGCCGCCTCTGTCATCTGAGGGTCCAAAGTCAGCCATTGCCAGTAACTGATCAATCTAAAAGGAAAGCGCAATTAGATTGAGCCTCCAGCACAAGGCCACCACCCGCCAGCATCACCTTTGCGGCATGGGCCCACCCACGGGTCTTTTCATTCATTTTACACAATTCCTTTGATTAACTCTTCCTGAGTATTTAGGACTATTCAACAGCTTGTGCTTTCTAATACCTTGCCGTTATTTTCTAACTTACCATGTTTTCTCTGATGAAAAGTGAAGCTTTTGAAAAACTACATTTAAAACTTGTAAATGTTAGTCAAATTTATGAAGAAACCGTAACTGTTAGTTGAATTAAATAACTGACATTTACTGGTTTCTAATGTAGTTTTGCAAAATGCTTCAATTCTGTCACTGAATTTCTGTGTTTTGGTGGGGGAAGGCCTCCCAGCAACAGAAGGTAAAATGTATTGGGGACAGTCACAAAGTCAGAATCCACAGAAGTCAGGAGTCAGGCTCCAGTGTGACCAGGAGGCCTAAACTGAAAATGAAAACTACTCTTCAGCAGCACAAGTGTGATACTATCCACACCAGGCCACAGCTACAACCATGCTGGACACTGTCCTGTGGGAAACCTCACCTACCTGTCCCTACCACCAGGGATGTCCTGACCCTCCCTTGCAGCGGGGGCCAGCTTAAGGCACAGCATGAGCCTTTACCTGTCCATTGACTGTTTCTAGAAGAGAACCCACAGTGCGTGCCGGGACCTCCCTCCCCAGAGACACGCTGAGCTCAGATCAAGAGACGGGGCGTCCTCCCCAGTTCAGCTGGTGTTCACATATTGATGCCTTGCTACTGTCCTACCGTCCTTGCAACCTCACTCCTTTATTTCTCTTTCTAGTTAAAGAAATCACATATTTGACAAGGTTATTACTTGTATGATATTTTAGTGTTACCTATACAATGAGTAGCAAAAGACAAAAATGTCTGTTTTTTTCCTGTAGATTCAAATACTATCTAGTCCTCTGGTGAACAATGGTGACCTAGTTATAATATTGTAAATGCTATTTGCTGATTTTTGGCAAACTTTTTAAAGGTATAATGTACCTTAATAACTACACGGTAACTAACCACTGCCCAGATTTAAAAACAAACAGACTGTGTGTGTGTGTGTGTGTGTGTGTATACACACACACACATAGATATATTATAGATTTTTAACCTTTATAATTAACCTATTTCTAAAGCAAAATAATAATAATAATAATAATGACAATAGTTACAGGACAAACATAAGCCTTGATGGTATGAAGTCACAGTAGAAGGATCACAGTCAAGAGGCAGGAGGTAAGAAATAGCCAAGCTAGGAAGACAATTCTGGCCACCTTTGACTTTATAGATTGAGAAAAAAAGATTGTGCCTATCTGTTACAGTGATAAGTAGAAAAAATTAACATCAGAAAAAGCATTTACCTCTGGGGACTCAGGCTGGGAACAGAGGCACAGAAGCAAGAGAGACCCATAATTTTCATTTGTACCACTATCACCATGTTTTTTTTTAAAACTGTGCATTATCTTTTCAGTATTTAAAAATTAATTTAAATTTAAAATTTACTCATATGAAAGTATGCTATAAAAAGTTAATCTAAAAACCTTACCTCAGCTAGAGCTGCATTTTCCCGGTCTTGAACAAACACAATTGGAGGCACGTTCCTCATGGTCTGCTGGGACATCAGAAGGTGCCTGAGAGGAGAGAAGGCACAGGGCCTCACAGCTGCACCAGGAAAGTCAGTGCAGAGCTGTGATGGTGCTAGGCACAGACACATGAAGACCTCACCAAGACACAGCGTGAGATTTACCATGTTACCAACAGTGCACGTAGCAAACTCCATGTGTGACTCTGCGTTCTCAGTATCTGCTCCCTTCCCCTAAACATGAAGTAAGATGAGAAGGGTGGTGGCAAGCAGGAGGGAAATAAGAGGGCAGGCGGGAAGAAGGAATTCTAGTTTTTAGAGCGCTGGTTAGTGAGCTGGATTTCTTTATTTTTTAAGACTGAGGAGAAAACTGAGTAACTTCTTGATCATCACCCAGCTCAGCAATTCTCAAAATTTTTGGTCTCAGGACCCTTTACATTCCTAAAATTAATGAGGATCTCAAAGAGCTTTTGTTTATGTGGGCTATATCTACCAGCATTTACAATACTAGAAACCAAAGCTATGTCTTTTTAAAGGTACTTAAAATAATAAACCCACTAAATGTTTACACAGACATTTTTAGGGAAAAATAACTATGTATTCCCAAAAATGAGAAGTGTGGCAGGATTTACACATTTGCACATCCCCCAAGGCCAGGTTAAGAAAGGCAGTGAGTTCTCATCACTGCTTCTGCATTTTATCCTGACTATGGTTGAAATATAAGAAAATCCACCTCACAGATATGTATCGTCTCTACAATAAAAAATAAAAAATTAGCCAGGTACGGTGGTGCATGCCTGTAGTTCTGGCTACTTGTAAGGTTGAGGCAGAAGGATCGCTGGAGCCCAGCAGGTTGATGCTGGAGTGGCCAAGAGCATGCCACTGCACTCCAACCTGGGCGACAGAGTGAGACTGACTCAAAAAATAAAAAAAGTTAGTTGCAGTGTGGAATCTGAAACCACACCAACCAAACTGTCATGCTCTGCTACATTATAATAATCTAGTTCACACTTTGAACTGATATCCCCGTGTGTGATTTTGTAACCTCATGTACCAGTCACTTGGTGAACACTGATTCACCTAGTTATGCAGATTTCCAAAACACTGACACATCACCAATCGTATCAGAAGAGTTTTCAAATACCTAGAAGCTGTCAAGCTTACAGTGATGAATACAAAGTTTTCTAAAATTCTGATTTTCACTTGAAAGCTTAAATTTTACCACTGGTAACAGATGCGGCCAGTTGTTTGCCTTGAAGTACCAGGTTCACTAACTCATTTTTGAAAGATAACTGCCAAGCACCCACATCTGAACAGTTTGTTCACTCATTCTTTTCCGGTCAGCATTTTCCCTGCAACATCCACCATACATCAGCAGACAGTAGGGAGATTTATACATACTTCCTGAAAGGAGGGACCCTGAGAAACTTAAAATAAATTTAGTTCACATTTTGCTTCAGCATAGCCATTTTTGCTTAGACTGACATGCTTTGAATTTAGCACAGGTTAGACACAAATTGATAAATGTCCAATAGGCAGGTTTTAGGAAGCGTTCAGACATTTTACTGCAGGCCAAGCTGGCAGCCTACCCCACCCCCTCAGCAAATCTCCATCAGATGTAAGACAAGCACAGCCCAACCTTTCAATTCATGGTTTAGAATAATCTCTAAGAAGCTTTCAGGTTCCTTTTGAACGTGGAAGGTCAAAGATCACCCCTTAGCTGGCCAAAGCCATAGAAAGAATAAGACCGCCTTTTTGCTAAGGAGCTTGTAGACTGGAAATGTCTGACAGGTCTCTTGCAGGAAAAACCCCCTCCCCTTGTCTCCTCCCATCTAGCCCACCACCATGACAGTAATCATGTGACTAACTCACCCATCTGGCTGCTGTCCATCACCTGACGTCAGTACCTGCGCTTACCTATACCTTCATGATGATGTGCAGCAGACCACCACCCAATTGCTTTAATGGCCTTCCCCCATCAAAAGAAAGGATTAAAAAGACTCAACCATGAGCAACCAGCCACCATTGCCTTGCTAAGCTATGGTGTGGCCATGTGCTCTTTGAGCTATGGCCAGGCCACGTTTCCTGGCTTTGGCCCCCTCTCCTACCTTGGGGAAGTGAATCTCCTCTCTCCCTCTCTCTGTCAAATTTACTTTCTAAATAAACTATATTTTCTAATCTAACCTCTGTGCAATTCTTTGCATCATTCTTGTGGCACCAGATCGCACACCAGACACCCACACCCCAGTGGGCCTGACCTAACATTCTGGAGGCCCCCACTGAGAGTGTAACCTAACACTTCCCATGACAGAGAATATTAAAAGACATGCACTCAAGGGTCAAGATCTAATAAGGTTAATAATTTCTGCTGATTCATCTAGGATATTCTTAAGTAAAAGTGTCACTGTCTTTCACTGTAGACCTGTGGAGTGCAGCCTGCAGCACTGGCTGGCAACAAGGCACCACCAGCTTTCCCACCACAGCACCTGTGCCCAGAGTGCAAGTGTCACATAGCAGGAAAGGAAAAATAGCATTTTATGGTCTGAGTCTTTGCAAGGCTTTCCAGATCCCTAGGGATCCAGGATCACACTTGGAAATGCTGACCCAGATTATGGTTTACACGAAAATGCAAATTATACCCTGAAATTCAAGAAAATGTTTCCAAAATTTCCCTTAAAAGCAAAAATGCTTCATGAGAAATTAAGAAAGTCCATCCACAAATGAAACAGTTGGGAAACCCAAGATGCAAGCAAAAAGCAAGGGCATCTGGCAGGCGAAGGTCATCACCTCATGTAGGCAGCGCTTCTCTGCAGGGTGGCCTGTGTGTGTGCATTCTGCTCTGCGGAAAGCGTCGTCTTCCAATACACGCGGCAGGCTGAGAAGTCTGGAGTCAGAGAGACCTAGGACCCATCGCACATCCGCAAGTCACTTTTTAATTTACACGGGGTTTCGGGACATTCTTCAGGAGGTGAAAATGACAGTTCCAGATGTCCACCCTCCCATACCCCAAGCCACTGCTGGAGTGCTTCTAGAGGCTACTACCTGCTGTTGCACAACATCCAAAGCAGGGCCACAGACACCAAAACCTACCCCTCTCTTCTCCAGGTCCCACACACCACCTGGCTAACCAACCCAACCCCACAGAACTTGCCACATAACTACCTGCCTTGAGATGCTCATCGAAAAACCCAGTTGTCACCTATTCTACTTATAAATTCTCTCAAGTGAGCAGGAGGAAATCACCTCCTTCACCTTTTCTCTAAGACAAAGGCAGATGCATCCTCTTCCCTACTAAGAAGGAGGCTGAGATCTGTCTTTGACAGTGTGCCAGGTTCTGTTTGGTCCCTGTCCCTGTATGCCACAAGATCTTTGCCACTGCACAACAGAGACCTGCCATCTTTAACGACCAGACTGTGTTCCCTCTGCAACCCACAACTGCACTGTACCCACAACTGCATTGTGTGAGAGAGTACTGCCAGGCAAGAAGGGCATGAAGTGCCCACTGGGCCCGCCCCAGTCCTGCCTCTTTGTTGGCTCATTGCCCACAACCTACCTTGGAGAGCTCCACATTCAAGTCACAGACCTCCTGACTCACTTCCGGCGTGCACAGCAGGTCAGTCAGAGCCTTATACAGCAGGCCGTTCAGGGTCCTCAGGCGCACATGGTCCTCCTTCCTGGTTTTCTTTGAGGTACTCTTCATGAGGAGATCTAGCCTGGATGGTTTGTAAGTCTCCATCAGGAAGAAGAGCACACAACAAGGCCAATGTTACAACTCCACACCAGCCTTCACCAACTCACAAAAGGGCTAGGGAAGGGCACCACGAACAAGATATTACTCTCAGCCACCTCAGCTTCCACTGAGGTAAAGTTTACTTCACAGACCTGGATCTTTCTAGATTTTACCTAGCAACCCTCTAAGATTAAGAATACTGCCACTATATTTTTTCAAAAAAACGTTTTGTTGAGATATAACTCATATACCGTAACATTCACCCTATTAAAGGCATAATTCAGTAGTTTTTAGTATATACAAGAGGGGACTGCCCCCAAAACAGAATTTATTTATAAAAAATCGTGTATTTATTCTTACATGTTTAAACCTCAGTCACCTTCAAAGTACTCTCCATTTGATGCAATATGCTTTTTCCACTGTTCAATTTTTTAACTCATCAGTTTTGATGCCTTCTGCAGTTTTTTGTTTCACCTCTTCCACATTGGCAAGATGTTTCCCTTTGAGGACTTTTTCCGTCCAGAGAAACAAACAAAAAAGTGACTCACGGTGAGATCACATGAATAGGGAAGGTGGGACAGAGGGGTCATGATGTTTTTGGTCAAAAACTGCTGAACACTCAACATGGTATGGGCAGATACGTTGTCACGGTAGAAGAACCAGTCACCTATTTGCCACAACTCAGGACATTTCTTCCGCAAATTGTGACACAACCTTCTCAAAGCTTTCAGATAAAAACTTGGGTTAACTGTTTGATCCAGAGGAACAAATTCCAAATGTATTACAAGGGACCTGTTCTCCAAAAGATAATTCTGGTTTTCTGGGGGGAAGGGGGTTCCCTCTCATACATGCATTTATTTTTTCTACTGGGAGTCATTTATTATATAAGCTTTCACAGTATACACACACACGCACACACACATGCACACACAACGGAATGAACACTACCATATTAGAATAATAGATACGACTTCCTAGAAAATGTTAGTGTCAGTAATTATTTTTAAAGGTCAAAATTCCATGTTACCAATGGCACCTAGTCACAGATGCTGTTCCCTCTAATACAGATATGGAAAAACCACCAGATAAGAATGTTGCTAACTTTTAAAACCTCACTCCCATCAAGACAACAGAGTGCCTCATTGCTGCACTTACCGTACTCCTGTACTTACCAAGTAAGATCCCAAGGAAGGACCTTCATACCAAAACTTTTTTCTATGAGAAGAAAAGAAAAGTTATGTTAGACAGTGATGGCAAATTAAAAAAGAAAAAGTTACAAAAGCTAACTCAGAGGTTATCATATCACAACTGTTTGTGAGGGGCTAAACTTGGACACAGAAATTATATTACTAGGGATCTAAAAGTATTTGACATTTGACAACAACATGGGTTATGGGGGAGAGGCTGCAGATGGTTTTAATTCAACTTATAATTTTTACTCAAAGTCTACTTCTAGACTCAAGGACAGAAAAAGAGGATCTTAAAAAAATATACCTAAGCCAGGCTCGGTGGCTCAGCCTGTTATCCCGCACCTTTGGGAGGCTGAGGTGAGTGGATTGCCTGAGCCCGTGGGTTCAAGACCCGCCTGGGCAACTTGGCGAGACCTCATCTCTACAATAAATCAAAAAATCAGCCGGGCATGGTAGCGCATGCCTGTAATTCCGGCTACTCAGAAGGCTGAGGCGGAAGAATCGCCGGAGTCCAGCAGGTGGAGGCTGCGGTGGCCAGGAGCGGCCACTGCACTCCAATCTGGGCGACAGAGTGAGACTCCAACTCAAAAACAAACAAACAAACAAAAATTTACCTACCAAACTGCACATAAATACTACACTTTAGTTGATAAAAGTCTTTCTCACGGAGGTACAGGTAAACAATTCTCATACTGCTTTTCATACACACTGAGGCTGAACAATTAAGAGCATGGTGGACAGTGGGAGCCATGCTCACAGTTGGAATGCGAGTTACAGATAAGAAACAAGAAGCTAAAATGATCCATATGGCATGCACTAGAATTGAAGACAGACGGCTACATACAGAAACGTTTATAAGTAAATTAAAAAATAAGAGCTAGTATAAACACATATATTTGTTTTGTCCGATGAGATGCCCAAAAGACAGGCACCCCAATAGCAATAAACACACCCAGCACCCAGTCTTGGTTCCTAATACCACTCTTCAACAAAAGGAACCAGGTCTTCTTGGAGAAATGGCTGATCTAGAGCCGAGGCAGGAAATACATCAGATGAGCCTGGAGCATTTGTAGTGCCAGGAAGTACAGAAGTGCTGTGCACACGTGCACACACACACACAGAGCAAAACCCCATAACAATGGGGTCTACTGAAGGAACATGGGAGATGGGAGAACTTCTAATTCCTAATGGCCAGAGCTGGAACAATTTGAGCAAAATAAGGTAATATGGGATCATGACCCATGAGTCCACACTGACATAAATAAGTTAATAAATGAGGGAGAAGACATACATCTCCTAGGCAGAATGCCAAATAATTTATGAGCAAAACTCCCCACCCCTCAGGTATGGGCTGCACATAGTGACTTTCCCCCAAAGAGTGCAGTATGGAAATGAGTTTTAAAAATTTTTTAAAGAGTAACTACAGTGGAGAAACCTGACAAACACCTCGGCCTGGGGATGAAAGCCAACATCAACAGTGTTGGGCCATGTTGGTAGCATGCACCCCTGAAACGACGTGATGCAGATAGTGCTGTCCCTTTCTGGTCTCCCTCCTGGGAATCCATGATCCATGTCTAATTGTAAGAAAAATATCAAACTCCAGTAGAGGGGCATCCTACAAACACCTGACCAGTACTCCACAAACTGGCATTGTCATCAAAACCAGGGAGCGTTTTGGACACCGTCACAGTCTAAAGGACCCCAATGAGACAACTAAATGTAAGGTAGATCTTGGATGGGGTCCTGGGACTGGAAAGGACAGGAGGTTGGAACTAAAGAAAAGTGAATCAAGTGTGAGATTCTGTTAGCAACAACGTATCAATACCAGTTCCTTAATTCTACACATGTGCCAGGCTAATGTTGGATGTTATAACAGGGAAGCTGGATGCCAGTCTAGGGGAACTCTGTTCCATTTTTGCAGTTTTTGGTAAAATCTAAAACTGTTTTTAAAAAGTCTGTTAAAACAGAAAATGTATACCTATCATACTTAGAATTTAAAATGATGTGAAAAGTCAGAATTTTATTATACTTATCTGTTTCTGAGTCACTGTCTCACTCCCTCACCCAGGTGGAGTGCCGTGGCGCGATCATGACTCACCCACCGCAGCCTCCACCTCCTGAGCTCAAAAGACCCTCTTGCCTCTGCCTCCCAAAGAGCTGGGATGACAGACGTGAGCCACAGCACTCAGCGATACTTACCTATCATCATTAAAAAAACTACCATGACAAGCTTTATTCTCCAGATAAAGACCACAGAGAAAGTCAGCATTAATATGCAAAGAAAACTCGCATTTTTTCTTCTTTTCCTTTTTAATGGCTGAAACTACTCTCCTGAGAAATGTGTCTGGTGACAAGAATAGAAATAAATACACCTATCACTTTACTTCTGTTTTTCTAACCCAACATACGTTCACGAACAGAAAGAAGGTAGGGCGGAAACGTGGCAAATGTTAACAGCGCGGGTCGAATAGGAGCTGACTTTCCAACAACCAGCAGCTGGCCAGAGAGGCCGCGGGGCGACCGCCGGGCATGAGGCTTGCGGGGCCGCGTAGACATCATCTCGCATAGACCACAGCCCGCGCGGGAACGCTCCCCCGCCCCGCCCCCGCCCCGCGGACACCGTCCCGCATGGACACGCCCCCGCCGCGTTACACTACTTGGTTTTCGAGGCAAACTTCTTGAGCAAGTTCTT